AGTTTAGAAGTCAAACTTCCGACAATATGCACAGATGAAAAGCAGAGATGGGAAGAGTCAGAGAAGAGAAGAGAATAAGAAAGAAGATCAAAAAGAGAAAGCCTTCGAAGAAAGAAGATCCAGGTGCGCGAAAAGGTAGGAAAGCCGCGAAACACTGTGTTTTTCCAATGATGTGTGGCTCCGGAGGGTCGAAAAGTAGGCTTGCTAAAGTGGCGGGTGCGGAGCCAGCTGGCCAGATGAGAGATGAAAAATTGCACGCCGTTGTGGCGCGAAACACATTTCCAAGTCAAAATGTATAAAACACACCAGGTCCGGATCACTTTTGGAAGTTGAGATGTCAAAAAAGTGCACGCCGTTGTGGCGCGAAGCACATTTCCAAGTCAAAATGTACAAAACACACCATGGTCGGACCACTTTTGGAAGTTGAGATGTCGAAAAAGTGCACGCCGTTGTGGCAAGAAGCACATTTTGAAGTCAAAATGTACAAAACACAACATTCTCGGACCACTTTTGGAAGTTGAGATGTCGAAAAAGTGCACGCCGTTGTTGCGCGAAGCACAATTCGAAGTCAAAATGGTAAAAGCACCACATGCTCGCGCCACTTTTGGACGTTTAGATTTCGTTTCGCGTGGCAGGCGCAAGGGATTGTGGACCTTGTCAAAAGTGAGCAAAACGTGAAGGTTTTGTAGCATTTTCAAAAACGATGGCAGGCGTGAGACATTTGAAGAGGATCTGCAAAGATGCATTTTCCGTGGCAGGCGCAGTACAAAAGACATGTTCATCAGAGCTGTTAGGAGGTTTTCCTGAGAGGGGTTGCATTTTGGAGCCTCCGATCTTCAGGTTTGCTGAGATGATTTTGCGTGACAGGTGCAGCACTTTGTATGACCGGGCACCACTTTTGCGTGGTAGGCGCAATAGTTTAGACAGATGGACTGGAAAAATAGCAAAATGCATTGGTACGAGGCCGTCAGCTCTGCACTCAACTTTCTATTTTTGAAGGAAGTCTCAGAGAATTCTTTCGTTTTTGATGTTGTCAACTTCGAAAAAATGAGGAAGTCTCGCAGAAGTGTTTCGTTTTTGATGTTGTCAAGTTCAAAAATTGAGAACGTCTCGCAGAATAGCTGCGTTTTTGATGTTGTCAAGTTCAAAAATTGAGGACGTCTCGCAGAATAGCTGCGTTTTTGATGTGGTCGAGTTCAAACAATGAGGACGTCTCGCAGAATAGCTTCTTATTCAAGCTTGCAGATAGACAGGTAGATAATAGACAGACAGACAGACAGACAGACAAACAGACAGAGAGATAGAAAGAAAGACAGACAGACAGACAGACAGAGAGATAGATAAATAGTTATATAGGTAGATAGATAGATACATAGTTAGATAGACAGGTGAGATAGATAGATAGATAGATAGGTAGATAGATCGGATAGGATAGAATAGGATAGAATAGGATAGGATAGATACATAGATAGATGGGGAGATAGATAGATAGATGGAGAGATAGATAGATAGATAGATCGATAGATAGATAGATAGGTAGATAGGTAGATACATTGATAGATAGATAGATGGAGAGATAGATAGATAGATAGATAGATAGAAAGATAGATAGATAGATAGATCGATAGATAGATAGATAGACAGATAGATAGATAGATAGATAGAGAGAGAGATAGATAGATAGATAGATAGATAGATAGATAGATAGATAGATAGGTAGATAGATAGATAGGTAGATAAATAGATAGATAGATAGGTAGGTAGATAGGTAGATAGATAGATAGATAAACAGAGAGAGATATAGATAGGTAGATAGATAGATAGATGGATAGATAGATAGTTAGATAGATCGATAGATAGGTAGATAGATCGATAGATAGATAGATAGAAAGAGATAGAAAGAGATAGAAAGAGATAGAAAGAGATAGAAAGAGATAGAGGTAGATAGGTCGATCGATAGAGATAGAGATAGAGATAGAGATAGAGATAGATAGATAGATAGGTAGGTAGGTAGGTAGTTAGGTAGATAGGTGGATAGGTAGATAGGTAGATAGCAAATTTTGCAGCACTCTTCAGCGGTGGATGTTGCCGCTTGGCTTGAAAGACCTAAATGGCAGAGAAGAGACATGGAACAGACAGCGGGCAGGAAGCGACCACCTTTGGAGGCTTTTGCAGAGAAAACGCCGAGTAGCAAAGTGAAGGTCCTGAAGGAGACTTTGGCATTTCCTAGTTACACAGGGATATTTTTCGAGAGTCGATTGTGTCTTTTCTGACCTGTCGTCGTGTGTCTTTTCTGACCGCGGAAGCATGCAATCGCAAGTGGAATGTGTCTCGTCTGGCCGTTCCAATGCCTGCACTTCGAAAAGTTGGATTGCGATTTTTCTGACCTATCCAGCTTGCCGGGCTTGCCGTATCTGTTGGGATTGTCGTCGCGAAGCAAAAAGCCGTCACTTGCGACTTGGTGACATGGTCTTCCCGGACGGTGCCTATAGGGTCGTTGTTTGGTACTTAGTACTTGTTCAGGTAATTGGGGTCTGAAATGGTATGAGATGTATGAGGGTTTTGATATGTCTGTTCTTCAAGATTGGTTTTTGGTTTTCGCAGCAACGAACGCTACTACTTTTTTCTTGTCTACCCTTACCTCCTAGGTGAAATGAATCCCGGGAAAGAATGCTTAGTCGATGTTTGGTTGTGTTTCAGACGTTGATGTTGAGAAAAACAGGAAGATGTATTTTTTATGGGTTGACTTGACATCAAGTGGTAACGGTTCGAGTAGCTTCGTCTCCTTCAACATTAACTACACTATGTCGTGCATTCATGGATCTACCGGTTTGAGGGGTCGCATGTAGATCCTAAAGGTGCTTGAGGTGACTTCTGGTTATATATTTTTTGAGCAGAATGTTATCCACCATATGGGATTATATCAGGGACTAATTATGATCAACAAGTGCGAAGTCGAAGAATCATACATACCAAGGTATGATATGTTTGGAGTTCAGTGCTGTCTCTTAGAGGGGTTAAACACCAAAAGTGTATATTTCTTTGTTTTTCCAGAGTTGTGTGTTGACCACATGCATGAGTTTATGTCGTAGATAGCTTCGTACTATTTCGTACTTGTGTTTGAATTTATTTTTGTTTGTTGAGAGCTATTTCAGATGGTCATCTGAATCTGGTTGATCAGTACTTGAAGTTTTGTTTTTTGGGGTTCCAATTCACGATGGTTTTATATACCGGGAATCAAGTGATGAAAATAGGGGAGATGTAGATGAGGAATTTGTGCTTCTGTAGAACGTTTGTTGATTTGTTATCAGTGTTCCAGAAGACATGCAAACTGTTTTCTTACATGAATTGTTGGTTCCTGATTAAGTCACAAAGATGCAATCATAATTACGTCACTGGCTGATACAATCACACCTTTCTGGGGACATGAGTTCATGTTACATCTTCTGCTGTGCAATGTTTGGGATGCTCACAGCTCGTCCATGATTCGCCTGGATGTCGTCGATACAATAGTGTTTAAATCTGCCTGGATGTCGTCGAATCAATAGTGTTTAAATCATGTTGCAGGACGCAAGATACAAGTATGGCATGTGCAAGGGGGCAACGATAGAAAAGAGTCATGACACACGTTATGTTTAGCATTGTTGTCCTACCAACAGTAGTTTTGGCCAATTTCCCTCAATTTCTTTTGCCAATGTTAGAGTCTTCAAGGAATAATATGGTATTCGTATTGAAGCGACAATCAAACAATATGTCAACCAAACAATATTCATTCTGTGTTCAATTTTGTTAGTCAGCTAGCAGTGGTGTGACTTTTCTGTCCTCCACCCGTAGTCATTTTGCTCGTCAGCTAGCCGTGGTGTGACTTTTCTGTCCGCCACCACTAGCTGCACGTTGTGCGCCATGGCGGACGGTGTGAGCAAAACTGTTGCATTTCTAGCAACTTACTGCGAAGAGCTCGTGCAGTTGCAGAAACCAACTTTGGAATCGCTGCTGAAAAGTAATCGTGCGAACCAGGTCAAGGAGTGGAACGCAGCAAAAAACTTTTGGCACCGCAAGGTGGCTACATTGGCGGTAGAGCAGCGAGAGCTATTGGAGGACTGGAAATTTGTTCTTTGTGACATGTCGAGATTGGATGCAGTGGCTTTTTTGTCCCACATGGAGAGTTGCTTCGACTGCGGTCATCAGTTTTTATTGCAAAAGGCCGAATCCATGCAGCAGCTCGGGGCAGGAACCTTACAGGGTGTGTTACGCAGCAGAGAGGTGAAAAGCAATCCCATGGCCGTTTTCATTTTGCTTTTATTAGAGCGTTATTCTGAAAGCTTTGCACCAGAGCACAAGGAAACCATTGCGATGTGGGAAGCCGAATTCTGTTGGATCGGTGTAGAAGCACAACAACCAGCTCGTCGGACTTGCACGCTAGCATTCGCGCGGGCGCAAGATTATTTCGCAAAGTTTGCAGCTGAAATTGTGCAGCTGGAAAAGCAGACCTTGAGGGATGTGGTCACGATCACGAGCAATCAGGCAAACAGCTGCGTAGAGTGGAAGCGAGCGAAAAACTTTTTTCCCGTCATTATCGTTTGCTGACATTGGAGCAAAAAGACATGCTGGAAGATTGGGAATTTATTCTTTGCAATATGTCCACACTGGAGGCTGCGGCTTTTCTGCCCCGGCTCCAGAGATGCTTCAAGCGTGTTGAGTCGCTTCTCACGGAGAGAGGGGAAGCCTTGAAAAAAGTAGGAGCTAAGAAGTCACAGCTTGCTCTGCGAAGTCGGCACATGCTACAATTTCCGATGTCGATCTTTGCCCGAGTATTTTTGGAATGCTACAGTGATGAACTGGCAGCAAAGCAAATGGAAACCATGCCCGTGTGGGAAGAAAAGCTGTGTGAACCGAGCGCAGCCGACCGTGAAGCAGCGAGCGCTGGTCGTGCGACACCGAGAGCATTTGGGCAGCACAGGGTGGTTGAGCAATTGGTCATTGCAGGGGTGATTGCATAGATAGATAGATAGATAGATATATCGACGGACTGAAACTTAGAATGCGCATTTGGAAATTTCAGTCCACACGTGCAAAACTGAAAAATTGCATTTTACCAGCATTTCGGAACTTAGAATGCGTCCCCCCACCTAGGATGAAGCTATTCGGCAATCAACAGTTAGAATGCCTCCAAGGACATATGTTTTTTCCAGGCAGAAATACATATATATCCTAGACCCTCCAAGTCACCATAAAAAAGGTAGTTTACCACATAATTTTCATAGTTTTAGCAACTTTTCAGGGTATTTGGAGGTTCTGGGTATATGAATGTACCTGTTTGAGAATATCTCTTTTTTTTGTGCATTTTGCAGGTCTGGGTACTTTTACTCGCTTTCCCCATTCGATAACCTTGACAAAAGTGAGTTTCCCGTACAAAATTGCGATTTTGGACACATACCTGAGGTAGATAGGCTTCTGGGAAAAGAGGACACACCCAGCCACTAATGGTGTTGAACAGACAGTTAGAATGTGGCTTTAGTAAAGGATCCCCATCATTGATAAATACCTTTGTTTTATCTCCTAGATGGGCCGCTAGCTGGAATGCCTGTAGCTGTCACTGATTGGAAAAGATGTTTATATGTTTTTTTAACGGCAAAACTGGAAAATTGCATTTTACCAGCATTTCAGAACTTTGAATGCCTCCCCCCCACCTAAGATGAAGCTATTCGGCAATCAACAGTTAGAATGCCTCCAAGGGCATATGTTTTTTTCCAGGCAGAAACGCATATATATCCTAGACCCTCCAAGTCACCATAAAAAAGGTAGTTTACCACATAATTTTCATAGTTTTAGAAAATTTTCATGATATTTGGAGGTTCTGATTCTGGGTATATGAATGTACCTGTTTGAGAATATCACATTATTTTTTGTGCATTTTGCAGGTCTGGGTAAAGATTCCATGAAAAGTTTCAATGAACCAACAGGCAGCCCAAAGGCACTTTTACTCGCTTTCCCCATTCGGTAACCTTGACAAAAAGTGAGTTTCCGTACAAAAATTGCGATTTTGGACACATACCTGAGGTAGATAGGCTTCTGGGAAAAGAGGACACACCCAGCCACTAATGGTGTTGAACAGACAGTTAGAATTGTGGCTTTAGTAAAGGATCCCCATCATTGATAAATACCTTTGTTTTATCTCCTAGATGGGCCGCTAGCTGGAATGCCTGTAACTGTCACTGATTGGAAAAGATGTTTATATGTTTTTTTAAACGGCAAAACTGGAAAATTGCATTTTACCAGCATTTCAGAACCTAGAATGCCCCCCCCCACCTAGGATGAAGCTATTCGGCAATCAACAGTTAGAATGCCACCAAGGACATATGTTTTTTCCAGGCAGAAACACACATATATATATATATATATCCTAGACCCTCCAAGTCACCATAAAAAAGGTAGTTTACCACATAATTTTCATAGTTTTAGCAACTTTTCAGGGTATTTGGAGGTTCTGGGTATATGAATGTACCTGTTTGAGGATATCTCTTTTTTTTTTGTGCATTTTGCAGGTCTGGGTGCTTTTACTCGCTTTCCCCATTCGATAACCTTGACAAAAGTGAGTTTCCCGTACAAAAATGCGATTTTGGACACATACCTGAGGTAGATAGGCTTCTGGGAAAAGAGGACACACCCAGCCACTAATGGTGTTGAACAGACAGTTAGAATGTGGCTTTAGTAAAGGATCCCCATCATTGATAAATACCTTTGTTTTATCTCCTAGATGGGCCACTAGCTGGAATGCCTGTAACTGTCACTGATTGGAAAAGATGTTTATATATTTTTTTTAAACGGCAAAACTGGAAAATTGCATTTTACCAGCATTTCAGAACCTAGAATGCCACCCCCCCCACCTAGGATGAAGCTATTCGGCAATCAACAGTTAGAATGCCTCCAAGGACATATGTTTTTTCCAGGCAGAAACACATATATATCCTAGACCCTCCAAGTCACCATAAAAAAGGTAGTTTACCACATAATTTTCATACTTTTAGCAACTTTTCAGGGTATTTGGAGGTTCTGGGTATATGAATGTACCTGTTTGAGAATATCTCTTTTTTTTGTGCATTTTGCAGGTCTGGGTACTTTACTCCCGCTTTCCCCATCGATACCTGACCAAAGTGGAGTTTTCCCGTACACATGCGAGTTTGGACAACTACCCGAGGTAATCATATGCTTCTGGGAAAAGAGGACACAACCCAGCCACTAATGGTGTTGAACCGACATTTAGAATGTGGCTTTAGTAAGGATCCCATCTTGTATAATACCCTTTGTTTTATCTCCAGAGGGCCACCTAGCTGGAATGCCTGTAACTGTCACTGATTGAAAAGATGTTTTATATATTATTTTTTTAAACGGCAAAACTTGGAACAATTGCATTTTAACCAGCAGATTGTCCAAGAACCATACGAGGATGCCCCGCACCCCCTAGGAAAAATGAAGCTATTCGGCAATCAACAGTTAGAATGCCTCCAAGGACATATGTTTTTTCCAGGCAGAAACGCATATATATCCTAGACCCTCCAAGTCACCATAAAAAAGGTAGTTTACCACATAATTTTCATAGTTTTAGCAACTTTTCAGGGTATTTGGAGGTTCTGGGTATATGAATGTACCTGTTTGAGAATATCTTTTTTTTTTGTGCATTTTGCAGGTCTGGGTACTTTTACTCGCTTTCCCCATTCGATAACCTTGACAAAAGTGAGTTTCCCGTACAAAATTGCGATTTTGGACACATACCTGAGGTAGATAGGCTTCTGGGAAAAGAGGGCACACCCAGCCACTAATGGTGTTGAACAGACAGTTAGAATGTGGCTTTAGTAAAGGATCCCCATCATTGATAAATACCTTTGTTTTATCTCCTAGATGGGCCACTAGCTGGAATGCCTGTAACTGTCACTGATTGGAAAAGATGTTTATATATATATTTTTTTAAACGGCAAAACTGGAAAATTGCATTTTACCCCCCACCTAGGATGAAGCTATTCGGCAATCAACAGTTAGAATGCCTCCAAGGGCATATGTTTTTTCCAGGCAGAAACACATATATATCCTAGACCCTCCAAGTCACCATAAAAAAGGTAGTTTACCACATAATTTTCATAGTTTTAGCAACTTTTCAGGGTATTTGGAGGTTCTGGGTATATGAATGTACCTGTTTGAGAATATCGCTTTTTTTTGTGCATTTTGCAGGTCTGGGTACTTTTACTCGCTTTCCCCATTCGATAACCTTGACAAAAGTGAGTTTCCCGTACAAAATTGCGATTTTGGACACATACCTGAGGTAGATAGGCTTCTGGGAAAAGAGGACACACCCAGCCACTAATGGTGTTGAACAGACAGTTAGAATGTGGCTTTAGTAAAGGATCCCCATCATTGATAAATACCTTTGTTTTATCTCCTAGGTGGGCCACTAGCTGGAATGCCTGTAACTGTCACTGATTGGAAAAGATGTTTATATGTTTTTTTTTAAACGGCAAAACTGGAAAATTGCATTTTACCAGCATTTCAGAACCTAGAATGCCCCCCCCCCACCTAGGATGAAGCTATTCGGCAATCAACAGTTGGAATGTCTCCAAGGGTATTTTTTTTCAGGGCAGAAACACATATATATATAATTATATATAAATATTCACATATATATATATATATATATATCCTAGACCCTCCAAGTCACCATAAAAAAGGTAGTTTACCACATTATTTTTTATTTTTTTTTCAATTTTTCAGGGTAATCGGAGGTTCTGGGTATATGAATGTACCTGTTTGAGAATATCATAATATCACATTATTTTTTGTGCACTTTGCAGGTCTGGGTACTTTTACTCGCTTTCCCCATTCGATAACCTTGACAAAAGTGAGTTTCCCGTACAAAAATTGCGATTTTGGACACATACCTGGGGTAGATAGGCTTCTGGGAAAAGAGGACACACCCAGCCACTAATGGTGTTGAACAGACAGTTAGAATGTGGCTTTAGTAAAGGATCCCCATCATTGATAAATTCCTTTGTTTTATCTCCTAGATGGGCCACTAGCTGGAATGCCTGTAACTGTCACTGATTGGAAAAGATGTTTATATATTTTTTTTTAAACGGCAAAACTGGAAAATTGCATTTTACCAGCATTTCAGAACCTAGAATGCCCCCCCCCCCGCCTAGGATGAAGCTATTCGGCAATCAACAGTTAGAATGCCTCCAAGGACATATGTTTTTTCCAGGCAGAAACACATATATATCCTAGACCCTCCAAGTCACCATAAAAAAGGTAGTTTACCACATAATTTTCAGTTTTAGCAACTTTTCAGGGTATTTGGAGGTTCTGGGTATATGAATGTACCTGTTTGAGAATATCTTTTTTTTTGTGCATTTTGCAGGTCTGGGTAAAGATTCCATGAAAAGTTTCAATGAACCAACAGGCAGCCCAAAGGCACTTTTACTCGCTTTCCCCATTCCATAACCTTGACAAAGTGAGTTTCCCGTACAAAAATTGCGATTTTGGACACATACCTGAGGTAGATAGGCTTCTGGGAAAAGAGGACACACCCAGCCACTAATGGTGTTGAACAGACAGTTAGAATGTGGCTTTAGTAAAGGATCACCATCATTGATAAATACCTTTGTTTTATCTCCTAGATGGGCCACTAGCTGGAATGCCTGTAACTGTCACTGATTGGAAAAGATGTTTATATATTTTTTCCCGAGAGCGCCTGCGAAGGGTTCTTCGTAAAAAAGCAGCCGTTATACTACATCTTCACACCTTCACACCTGCAGATCTAGATCTTCACACCTTCACACCTGCAGATCTAGATCTTCACAACTTCACACCTGCAGATCTAGATCTTCACACCTTCACACCTGCAGATCTAGATCTTCACACCTTCACACCTGCAGATCTAGATCTTCACACCCTCACATCTGGACATCTAGATCTTCATACCTTCACACCTGCAGATCTAGATCTTCACCCT